CTTGCAGGGGTCGAGAAAAATCCAAGAGGAACATTATTAAAATTCTTCACGCCAAGCTATTTGCACAAAACCGGGGTGGGTTGGCGGCACTCGTCTTTACCCCGACCCCTCCTTTGTTCACTCTGCCAGTGACCCGGGTCTCCCCTGTATGTTTCCCATCTGCACCTCCGTGTCCACTCCCCTCCCGGCTGGTTTTAGGGCCCCTTTCCCCAATCTCGTTAGGTCTAGTCTCCTGGGCGCCTCGTCTCTCCTCTAGGTCAGAGGTTCCGAAATCTTTCTTAGAAAATTGCTCTCGGGGCCTCTTTCCCGTCCAGCAGGGCCCTGGGGTGAAATCAGGTGTGAGAACCCCCCGCCCCTGACAGTCTGACCTTCACCCCCACCCCCAGACACACACACTGCGGCGCCAGGGTCTCTGCGTCCTGAGGACCGAGCCTGGCGAGTGCCCAGGGAATTCGACCCTCGGGGACAGCAGCCTGGGTTTTGTAAATTAAATACGTGGCAGGTCTCCGCGAGTCCCTCTTCAGACGTGGATTTTCCAATTTGTTTGTTTTAGTTGGAACCTTTGCTGTTTATTCGTCCGAGTAGAAATACATAAATTTGGTCGCCATCTCAGAATCCTGCCGAATATTTATGTCCACAGTTTCTCGTGAAATAATTTCTTAAATAGCCAGCCCCACTAACACCCGCTCCAAATGTCAACTTCGGCATTTTTCTTACGAAACTGGACGTGTGCACTCCACCACCGAGTGCCCGGGAGGAGGGGAGAACTACTCCACCCCCAAGTGCATGGCTAACACCTCCGGGAGACTCCCCACCACACTGAAGAGTTTGTCTCCTTTTAGGACAACTTAGTAAGCAGTTAGATTCGCTTTTTTTTCCCTTTTTTGTTCGTTTGCTTGGTTTCTGTGTTTACCTAGTGAAGGGAATTCCAGAGGGAACAGCTGGAGAAACCTGAGGTCCGGAAGGACAGTCGGTAGAAACAAGGTGTTGCACCCGGGCGGGGTGGCTGCCCCGCGTTTACCGGAACGGACTGAAGAAGACAGCGCTGCATCTACCCTAAGCCTGGGCACCTCCGGGATGTCTCTTGCTCATCTCTCTTCTTTTTCTTCTCTCGCCTCAGTATTCCCCCTGAAAAATACCCTTCCTCCTCATTCCCTTGTTCTGGGTGCAGAGCTGGCGAGGGAGCCCTCGCTGAGGCACTGGCGCGAAAGGTCAAGATACATTTTCCCAGGAACAACCGCATTGGGAGTTTGGAGCCGGGACGTGGGAGTTGGGCCCCACGTGGCGTGGGCGGCGGGAATGGCGGCCGGTAGGCTGTGGGTGGGCACGTGTCTTAGGGGGCAGGTGATCAGTAGAGAGAAAGGTGCCTGGCCTGGCCTCCCCTAAACCTGGGGGCCTGATTTCCTGGGTGTAGGGGTGGGGTGCGGCCCAGCCCCGGGTTTGGCCGTGTTGGTGTAAACCGGCGGGTCCAGCCGCCTCCAGGTACCTGTGCACAAAGCGGAGGCCACCGTCACCGCACCGCGCAAGGCTGCACCCCGAAGGCCAAACGAGCAGGTCTCAACGCAAGAAGAAGTGCAAACGAACGCAGGCAGGAGGGTCACCCAGCACTGCCACACACTTTCTCGCCCTTAAACTTGACAGCAGCACTTTAGGGGGCTCTTTGCCCCCGCTCCACAGCTGTACAAAACCAGGGTGGCATCTCAGCTGGCGAAGAGGATACAAAGACTCGCTCCGAGCTCCAGTTCCAATACATCGCAATGGCGCGCGATGTAAGACCTTCAGCCAGAAAAAGTACACTGTGCCTTCCCGCCCCCACCCCGTCCTCTCCGAGAACCTCTCCGCTCAGCTGAGGAGAGAGCGGAAGGGCTCCTCTGAAACGTCCCCGTTCCCTGCTGGCGCCCGCCTCTGCCCGCCGGCAGGGGAAAGCCCGCGGGACCTCCGCTCCCTCCTGGCTCTCGGCGGAGGTGTGAGCGATGTGTTGATTATTCATATTTTTGCAGAGCGTACACTCGCCGCCACATTTCACACGTACACTCACGTACACACATGCACACGCGCTCACGTGGGCTGGTGCTCAGGGGGGGGGGGGGGGGGGGGGGGGGGGGGGGGATTGCTCTCCTCCCTAAGAGGCCATCCGTCTCTTAGAGGGGAGGGTGACAAACTCACATAGGTCGCTCTTCCTCCAAGTCCCCAGAAACATTCCCTCGGCTTCCAGAACCAACTCCC